GCCAGAACATTTTGCTGATTTTTAAAAGTCTTCAATAAGACTGAAATGAGGTTGAAATGAGATTGGAACTACCATCCAGATATATGATCTTCTAATTACATATGGCTGTTTCCACTTAACCATACTTATCCTGGCCCTGGTCCCACAAACAACCAAGTTAGCTGTATTCTCTCTCCCAAGAGGCAGCTGGAAGCCAGTGCAAGAATATGGTGGACAGTTTCCTGCAATCCCACCACTGGACCCCACTCATGTCCATCATATTCTGTTGATGGCAGATGCAGAGTAGTGTTCCTTTGACATTAACCCCCTACATCTTACAGTTTACACAGCACCTCCACACGTTTTGCTCAATTTTTCAGGACCGTGGAAAGGTACTGTTATCCCCACAGGCTTCCTAAGTAGCAGAAGTCACCATCCAAACCCATCATTTCTGATTTTCAATTAAATCAGCCTGCTACTTTGTTGTTGGCCAAAAATTCTCCTATATCCCACTTAGCCTTATTCTGGCTGCATGGAAATTAATGAGACTTCAAGTCTACTAAGAAGTAGAATTATGTAGTGAGGGGGAAAAAATGTATCTTTGCTTGCTAGTAACCTTAAGCAGATTGCTGCAGCTGAGCCTGTTTTTAAGGTGTAAGATGGGGATTAGGGCCACCTTGAAGAAGGGGCAGAAGGGGTAAAGTCTATGCAAAAGTCCTGGCACAATGGCTAGCAGTGAGTAATTATCCAGCAATATCACTCTTCTATCCTTCACCTTACCAAGTCTTACTGAGTCCAAATAACTCAGAATGAAGTCCCTGCACCTCAGGTCTTGGCCTGTGATAAAGAACCAGGGGGCAGGCTGTGGCAGGACCTGACTCTCTTCCATGCCATCAAGCACCAAGCCAAGAGATATATTCTGAAGTGCCACAGGATCCCCTTTCTCCTTCTTTCAGTCACCTGTTTAAGTAGTATCCCCCCCATGAAGTCAAGATGTATCCTAGAAATACGTCCTCAAGATTTCAAGATCAAGAAAGCCTTCAGTTTGGAATTCTAGAATCTACTAAAAACTTCCTCCTACTCCCTCTCCAAAGCCACAGACACAACCTGAGAAATAGTATAAGCTTGAAGGGGAATACACATTACAGATCCCACACTGACACCTCCCTGTCTTCATCTTCCAGGTCCCATTCTTTGATCCCCACCTCCAACTGTGGGTAAAGACCAACGCAGTCACCAGGTGCTCATTACCCAACTACTGGAGTTTAATCTGTTTGCAAGGACCTCTATTTTTCAAAGAGAGATCTCCACAGAAGGGGCCTCTGGCAAGTCAGACACCGCCAGAAATAAATGCCTGTGAGGGCCGAGCGGTTAAGTAAATGAATTAAAATGAACGTAATTCACTGGAAACTGTGGGGACCTTAGTGAAGGGGAGAGTACACTTCTACAAATGGCAGGAGGATCTCCACTCTGCCCGTTGCGGACATTCCAGTTCATTTCCTTCGCTTCATGCCACTCTTTGCAACTAAGCCTACGTTCTTCCTGCCTCGCCTCTCTTGGGGTGTCGCAGGCTTTCCCAGGGCCTCCCGCTCAGGGCGCTCCGGGAGCTGCAGAAGAACAGCTGAAGAAGAGATGCTATCTGACGTAGACCCACTTTCCCCCAGGGAACCCCAAGTGGGCTGAGAATGCGGACAAAGCCTCACCCTGCGGGCCCCAACCTAACCGGTAAAACCAGGGCCTCCCCCGCGGGAGTTCCGCGGTGGGTGAGGGCGCACAGGACACCTCCCAGAAAACTCTAACCTTCCCGAAGGGCTAAAGGGAGCGAGGACAGGATCAAGGGACATTACAGGGTTGTGTGTTTCCCGGGTGGGAAACCTCAGTCCTTTACGTTCCCCCCTGTTCCAACCACTTCCAAACCAAACGATTCTTGGGGCGGGGGCTGCGGACACGGGGAGGCTCCCGCACAGAAGGCTCGGTCCGCGCGCCCTGGGTCTGTCGCGCGCAGCTGCGGCAGCCACTGCGCTTCCCCGCCCCCCTCCGGGATGGCCCCCTTCCCTCTCCCCGCCAGACCGCGAGCAGGAGCTCCGCCCCCAATGCGCCGCCCCAGCCCCGCGCCTTAAAACCCGGTGCTCACCGCCTCGCCGCGCCCCTCCCGGAGCACCTCTCCTCGGCGCTGTCCTCGGTAGCCGCGCGCCCGCCCTGCTCCCGGCACCATGAGCTTCGGCTCGGAGCACTACCTGTGCGCAGCCTCCTCCTACCGCAAGGTGTTCGGAGACGGCTCTCGCCTGTCCTCGCGCCTCTCCGGGCTGGCGGCGCGGGCACCTTCCGCTCGCAGTCGCTGTCCCGCTGCAATGTGGCCTCCTCGGCCGCCTGCTCCTCGGCTTCGTCGCTCGGCCTGGGCTTGGCCTACCGCCGCTCGCCGGCGTCCGACGGGCTGGACCTGAGCCAGGCGGCCGCGCGCACCAACGAGTACAAGATCATCCGCACCAACGAGAAGGAGCAGCTGCAGGGCCTGAACGACCGCTTCGCCGTGTTCATCGAGAAGGTGCATCAGCTGGAGACGCAGAACCGCGCGCTCGAGGCCGAGCTGGCCGCGCTGCGCCAGCGCCACGCCGAGCCCTCGCGCGTCGGGGAGCTTTTCCAGCGCGAGCTTCGCGACCTGCGCGCGCAGCTGGAGGAGGCGAGCTCGGCGCGCGCGCAGGCCCTGCTGGAACGCGATGGGCTGGCGGAAGAGGTGCAGCGGCTGAGGGCGCGCTGCGAGGAGGAGAGTCGCGGGCGTGAAGGTGCTGAGCGCGCCCTAAAGGCGCAGCAGCGCGACGTGGACGGAGCCACGCTGGCGCGCCTGGATCTGGAGAAGAAAGTGGAGTCGCTGCTGGACGAGCTGGCATTTGTGCGCCAGGTGCACGACGAGGAGGTGGCCGAGCTGCTGGCTACGCTGCAGGCTTCTTCCCAGGCCGCGGTCGAAGTGGACGTGGCTGTGGCTAAACCAGACCTGAGTTCCGCGCTGAGGGAGATCCGTGCCCAGTATGAGTCCCTGGCTGCCAAGAACCTGCAGTCAGCCGAGGAGTGGTACAAGTCCAAGTTTGCCAACCTGAATGAGCAGGCAGCTCGCAGCACGGAGGCTATTCGAGCCAGCCGCGAGGAGATTCACGAGTACCGGCGCCAGCTGCAGGCACGCACCATCGAGATTGAAGGGCTGCGTGGGGCCAATGAGTCCTTGGAGAGGCAGATCCTGGAGCTGGAGGAGCGGCACAGCGCGGAGGTGGCTAGCTACCAGGTAAAGGTTGCAGTGTTGCATGGGGAGGGTACATACGGGTGCTCTCCCGCACAATTGGGGCGGAAGGGGAGAAATAAAGTAGTGGGAATGAGCAGCCCCGACTGGAAGTGGTGGCAAAGAGAGGCTCTGGAGTCTCCACCGCTGATTTTAGGGACCCGACCCCCCCTTTTTTTTTTAGCTCCTATCTTACATCCTTGTCTGAGACAAAGAAACCCTTAAGCTTTTGTTCTTCGGAGTCTCAAATCTAATGCATGCGTTCTTGTCAGCAAGTGGTCATAAAGACCTGGTGACCTGAAGAACTATTCCCCACCCAAGTAGAAGCGAGCCCAATGGAGTTGGGTTACATCCCCTCCGTGGCTGACAGTGCTGTCTAGGCTGCCTGGCTTGTTTGGTTGACTTTGAAAGGCTTTTTCTGCGTCCTGGGATTAATCTGCATGGCGTGTAATCTGCTGTAGGGTGTGAGGAAGAATGTTGCATTGAACTGGGAAAGGTCCTTCGACATTTTACTGACGTTGCCCTTAAAGGAGTAGAGATTGAAAGTCAAAGAACTGACATGTGTACGCGTGCGCGCGCATACACACACACACACACTCACACTTACATATACGTACGTTTCCTTGCTGACATACTGATGGCATTTCTTCCTAAAGAAAGCGCTACCCACTGGCTAAACAAGAACGGTCAGAGCGCTGTCCTCGGTGCTGATTTCGAGATGTGCGAAATGCTGTCTCTACAGTCGCTGTCCCAGTTACGACTCTCCAGGCAATTAACTGCTTTTTTTTCTTCTGTAAACACCAACACATCAGTCTTGGCTACCTGCAATAAAAGGTCACTATGTGGACAGCATTAATTTTCACTTTCATGGATGGCTTAGCGCTTAACAGAAACCGTTGATTCTGCTCAGCAGCAGTGAGATCCCACTTGAAAAATGCTCATATTTCTTAACATTTTCCCATCCTAAGTCTATGTAATAAAACACAAATAAATCTTTGAGATAGGTCACTTATTTTTTTCCATCTTTGCCTGCTTCTAAGCTCCTATGAAGGTATTGATGGGCTTTTTCTTTCTTGTCTCTTCAAACAAAGGGCACTGCTTCTTCAGTTTTGTTATGTAGGATGTTTCTGGGTGTATGATCACAAAGTGCACAGAGGTAGGAAAAAAGTGCAGAAATCTGTATTGTGTTGTTCAGATTCGATGTATAATGAAATCTCCATTGGCTAGAATGCTAGTAATTCAGAAACTTGTAATAATTCACTCTAACCAAGACTGAAGTATACATTAAACTAAATACAACCCAAAAAGTAGTGAAAGCTCAAAAGTACTATTTTAGCCCAGAGTTAGAATTATTATTGGTATGCAGGTTATTTGCTATTCGTTATATTCACTTTGTTAATGGAAGAAAACTTGCTTTTCTTTTGTTTTGATTGGTTTGAAATTACATTACTATTCAAATAATACTTCTATTCTGCCTCAAAATCTGTAACTCAAACTTTTCATTATGTGACCTAGCCCCTGGAGGGCCCAAATAGTCAACTGAGACTTCATGTCCTCTTCTAGAAGCCTCAAAGACTGATGTAGGTGGTCTTCTGAAGGGTTTGCCCAGTATTTTTACAAAAAAAGATAATTTACCTACAGATGCCACCTAAACTGAGCTTTGGCATGTCCTCTGTTTGGCCCTACCTTCTAAAAGGTAGTGGCAATATTGTCTGCTTTGTTTTGTTTGCTTTAAAATGCTTTAAGTGTTGGACAATAGAAGGGTCATCCAAACATAATCTGCAAGAAACAAACAAACAAAAAACCAGAAACTGCGGCATCTGTGGCTCTGCAGTGCTGCCCCCTCCCCCCACCCCACCATCAGCTTTAGCCTTCAGAGCCTCAATGGGCCTGCTGGTGGAGTGGAAAATATCAGATCACAGAGCGCTATTTTCTGCTCCTGGGAACCCAAGGCTAATGAGGGAATCAGCTGTAACTGCAGATCCTGAAGTCATGGGGGTGTCCTCTGCCTTTTCTAACAATCTTGGCAGGGCTGACAAAATGAAAAGCCTCCTCCACACTGATATTCCACCATTGTTTCCTTGCCCTATCACCCCTCCCCCCTTCCCTCCTTTCACTGCATTAATGGGAGTCTGTTCTCTTTCTTCTGCTAAAGAGATTAGTGACAGGTCCATTTTCCTTTGCAAGCTTGCCACCATCTAAGACCCCATTAAGGTCATGCTTCCCTACCCCAGAGAGCTGACAACCTATCTAAAGAGAGAAAGCTTATTACAGTTTTGAAAGGGTAAAGAATGATTCAAGGTGACATAGTAAGTACATGCACAATGGTGTATGAGCGAGTACGAATCAGGCAACAGGAGGAATTTGAAGAGCTGGCCTGTTGTCTTCAGAAACCATATGCCGCCATCCTCCTTAGCTAAAGGCTTTTACATGTCTGACACAGGACAGTTATGGTTCCTGCATAAGTGCTTCCCCACATTAGAGTCCCAGTGCTGCCAGAGGTGCCTAAGGTTCTTAATGGGTCCTGGGGACCCTAACCTGTGCTGTAGTCAGTCTTGGAAAGCTGAAGCTTTTCTTGAAAGACCTTGGCTGAACAATCAAGAATGTCATTAGTTAATGTCCTCCAGGGAGTTGAGCCAAGAGTGCCCTCCTCTCTCCAGCATGAGATTAGAAGATAGCCTAATTAAATAGCCGAAAGGGGCTGGCCTCTTGGGGATTGGGGTTGGCAGTGGCTACATATAAATCTATAGCTTGATAGATCCATTTCTGAAATTAGAATTTAAAAAAAATCTACATTTGGTCTTTTAAATTCTTCCATGTGCTTTTTTTTTTTTTTTTTTTTTTTTTAGTTTAACTTTTGCCTCTCTCTAGCTCACTGTTTTATTGCCACCTGGGCCTCCATGATTAACTAGTTTACAGAAATAAATTGAAGGTAGTGGTTTTTAAACTCATTGACACACCAAGGTCACTTGAGGGCTTAAAAAATGATTCTTAGGCCCACTCTCAAAGATTTGGATTCAGTAGTTCACAGATGGGACCCAGGAACACATGTTTCCAACAAAAGTTCTATATCCTATCATTCATTAGACTGATTTTGGGGTGCACTGAGAAAAATCACATTTCCCAGTGTAAACCTGCTAACAGAGAGATATATATAATGCAAGATTTTAAAGCATAGTAGGGGGAAAAAATGGGTTAAAGCAAAGCAGGGAGAGTAAAGCATGCACTGTGACCTAACGGGTAAACCACTATAAAAATCCTCTCTCCATCTAACTTTCTCCTGCAGAGCAGTCATTCTGGATGGCCTCCTTCAATCAGTTTCATGGCACTCACTACAGTTTACCTGACTGAGGGCCCCCAAAGTGATGGAATTCATAGCACTGTTTGTCATTATTGTTCTTGCTGCAGATGCTAGTGTGGCCAGTCCTTTCCCAAATTTTTCCAAACCCAGAGGAACATGTGGAGCACTAGTCTTAGCTACTCTGGGAAGGACCCCAGCTGGAGCGGGGAGTACCTTTCTCCCATCCCATCAGGCTAGACTAGCAGCAGCTGCGTGGTTGGGGGAGGGGACAGACTGCAGCACTCTGCTCAGATTTCAAGCTGGAGGCCATCTTTAGCAGGGCTTTTGAAGGGCAATGCAAGACACTGCCTAGGGTGGGGAAGGGAATGCAAACAAAGAGAGGAGCCCTAGAAGAGAGCAGTGGTCAGCAGTGAAAACCATTCCTTCTGAAAGGAGCAAAGTCATGCATTTTGTCCACTCTGAGCCTTAAAATGAACGTGTGAAATGTGTAACATGATAGTTCAAGAAAATCTCACCTATTTAGAACTCAGCTCCCCAACAACCTCTTATTCAGAACACTCAACTGTGAACAAAATTTTGAAAAAGGACCTCAGGAACCTGCTGAGGATACAAAACATCTGTCTCTAAATAGTGTCTTAGGAAATTTGCCCCTCTGATGCCCCCAGCCTATTCATTCTTACTTTACTTGATTATACAGCGCTTTGCTATTTGAATCACCAGCCTGCTGAGGAGGATAGGAGACCTGGAGTCAGACATTGTCAAAAATGAGTAGCAGCAGGTCAGTTCAACTTTCAGGATGAAAAATAAAAACAGTAAATAGCACTAATTACACTGTAGTGGCAGGAATGGCCACTGAGCAGGTTTTCAGATCTAGCACACCGGGTAAAGGAGGAGTCAGAGCCCTCAGTGGCTTTTTGCAGGTCTTTTATTGGGATTTAGTGGGTACATGGCAGGCAGGAGTGCTGTGGGGCCGGGAGGCTGGCAGGCCTCCCAGCCCCCAGCAAATCTTCACTCTATCTAGGCTCTCTGACGTTCTCTGCTTCTGCTTCTTGGCTTCTCTTTGGCTTCTACTGGCGTCCCCGTGATGCCGCCCTTAAAAAGCCCAGTCTTAGCCCAGGTGAATCCCATCTGCCTATGCCCACACCCTATTCCAGGTGCCCGCCATCAGGCATGCATTCAGGACCGCAAGGATCCATCATCTATCCTGATGGCAGGAGGGCAGAAAACCCTGACATTTTTCCTTACCCTACATACACTAACTCAAACACTGATCTTGGGGCCAATGAGGGTAGAAATAAACAGCCTGAAATACCAGGTTGACCTAAAAGGTAAAAGATATCACAGCATTACGGAAAAATAATTGGTCATTATCCTAACTCTTACTTGCTGAGAAAGGCAGCGCTATGCTTAATGTCCTATTTAAGGGTGACAGAAACTACTTTAGGTTTTTATTCAAAATTATGACTTTTTAAAAACCTGATGCTTTATGGGATCTGCCTCCAACTATCAATATTAGTTTTATCGTGCATTGCTTTGCTTAGGTATCTAAGGGGCTGCTGGGAGAGTTCATAATAACTTGTCCATATCATTAAAAAGGTAGAAAGTCACATGGTATGATATTAGCAACAATAAAAATCACTAGCACTGAGGAGTTCTGTGTGCCAAGTGCTGTTCCTATGCCTGTTATCTAATTAACAGGCAATGGACTCATCTTTATTATTATTATCATATAACGTGAGGTTCAGGACACCTCAGAAAAGAATAAATATGATTTTCCATATGCAAAAATGAAAGTTTTGAAGAAACTAAAATAGAGGAAACTGAGGTATGTTGTATGTTTGTGCCAGGGCAAGAAATGCAACCCCATAATGCTATTAAATTCCTCTTTTCATTTAACATCTCTGCTCATTTGCATAATGAGAATACTTCCTCCTCTTCTTTTCCCCCCCCCTCACCACAGTAAATAATTATGTATCTTCCCTACTGTATCATTAACCAATTTGCTCATTGGTTGGTTTAAACTCCTATAGCAACCATCAAGTAAAATTTCTTGGTAAAAATTCTTTTAAACCTTCATGACTTCTCAACATACTGGACTATTTCCATCACTGCCCAGTGTAATAGGTATTTTTCCCTACTGCTTATTATTCCTTGCCCTGTACCCATCATTCAATTGAGTCTCTGTTCTCAGTATTCCTGTCAATATTTATAGAACAGGTAGGTGGTATGAATTTTAATTCTTGTTGCAGAATCTCCTGATTTGGAAGTTCCCGCCCCCTGACGTATCAGCTCAGCTTTTCATCATCGCTTCATCATCATACAAAGGCAGTTACAAGGGTCTCTCAGTACTTATTAGTGTTCCTGAGGTTTCTCATATGTTTATTTGCATCATTTCATAATCACTGCTCTTCGTGTCAACAAACTTGCAGCTGAATTATATGGTTTTTGTTCACATCTTTGGTCATAAGAAAAGAGAGCGTATGTTGTAGCATTATTCATCCAATAATTATCCATTAAACATCTACAGTGTGTATTGTACAAAGCGCTGGGCTTCACGCCTTTCTTCTGGACACAGAGTCCTGTTTTCATTTTAATTCCATTCTAAAGCAGTAGTTCTCTAACAGAAGTAATTTTCCCTCTAGGGGATGTTTAGCAATGTCTGGAGACATTTTTGTCACAAGTAGGTGGGAGGGGCAGAGGTCAGAGATACTGCTAAACATCCTAAGATGTCACACAGCAACCCCCCATGTCCAAGAATCATTCTGTTCCAAATGTCAATAGTGCCAAGGATGAAAAACCCTGCCAGAGAAGAAGCTGGCAGAAAATAAGCTAGTAAACTAATAAATGAAAATAATTTCAGATAATATTAAGAGCTAAGAGCTTGTAGCCACTTTCAAGTGATACTTTTTTCTAATCTGTCCTCCCACTGGACTTTTCCTAGTTAGCACACTGCTTCTTCATGGGCTAGCAGGTGCTCTGGCTTGACATAAAAGGATGGGCTAGATTGCAGCCTCCCTGGTGGTGCAAAGTGTTTGGACACAGAATTGTGGATCTATCCGCAGCCATTGCAGCATGAGTTCAATCCCTGACCAGGGAGGTGACCCACATGGTGCAGCAGACCTCACTCCCCACACCTCAGAGGATTTACCAGAGACAGAGTGGGGAACAGAACAGGCAGATTGACTGAAATACACTGCTGAGGGGAGCACCAGGCGAGTCAGGAGAGGTCTGCTGCGCCATGTCGGTAGCTCCCTGGCTGGCCAGGGATCGAACTTGCACCACCAGGGAGACACCCCCACCACCAATAAATAAATCTTTAAAATTTATTTATTTTTATACAAGAATTAGGGTACAGGCCAGAGATGCGGGGAGGGGGGTGAGAGGATTCACCAGAGACAGAGCAGGAACAGAATAGGCAGATGGACGGACCAAAGTACACTGCCGAGGGGAGCAGCGGGCGAGAAAGGAGAGGTATGTCCCACTATGTGGGTTTCTCCTTGGCTGGCCGGGAATCAAACTTGTGCTGCAGTGGCTGCAGATTGCTTCATAGGTTGCATCCTAACCCCTGAGCCACCAGGAAGGCCAATAAATAAATCCTTTTTTAAAAAAAAAAGAATGGGCTAGATTGGTGTGGAGAGGTTACTTATGTTGGATGCCAGGGAAGATGTCTCTAAACAGCAAAATTCTAATTGTCTTCTGTGACACAGAATCAGCCGTGTAAAGACCTGGTAGAGCATTGCAGAGGTAATAGCAAGCCTAATAAGCCTGAGATAGCAATGAACTTGCTAAGTGTAAGGAACACTAAAATACAATGAGCAAGGGGAAAATATAGGCCATGCTGACAAGTTTGGACTTCATTCCATGGTCATTGGAGGATTTTAAGCAGGTGAGAAATAGGATCTTCTATGTTAAAAAAATCTTTATCAGTGCTCAAGAATCACAAATTTAAAGCTATTTTTCTTTCATGCTTGGGTGTGTACCTGGAAGAATTTGGTGTGTAAGTGGAAGAATAGAAAAACTATTACATTAACCTAGTCTCTTTGAAAATGAAAAACAACATTATTTGGATTTTTTTTTAAGATTTTATTTATTTATACAAGAACCGGGGAATAGGCCAGATGTGCGGGAGGATACGAGGATTCACCAGAGACAGAGCGGGAACAGAACAGGCAGACTGATGAAATACACTGCTGAGGGGAGCAGCGGGCGAGACAGGAGAGGTCTGCCTTGCTATGTGGGTTGCTCTGCAGACGGCAGGGATCAAACCGGCACTGCAGAGGCTGCGGACAGCTTCACAGCTCTGCGCTCAACCTCCTGTGCCACCAGGGAGGCCCCCATTTGGATTTTTAAGAATTCTGTGAGTCATTTTTCTCCTTATCTATCATGTAAAATACTTTCAGTAAAATAATTGAGTGGCAGACTTCCTGGAAACCATCAAAATGAATAGAGGTAGAGAAGATGTATTGGCTGCCTTCTCCGTGCTTTTGAAAGTTGGAATTTTATGAATCTAAGATCTTAACCAGAGGTGTTGGGTTTTGGAAAGAATATGCAGTAACTGAGCTATAGCAATACAAGATTCAAGGAAGGAATGGCATGTAAATAAATAAGAAAGCATCTCCTTGGTGTTCAGTTGAAAATCATGTGCCTGTGGCAGGAGCTCCCAACCCTCACCATGCAGCCAACCTCCTGGGAACTTAAGGGGGACATGCAGATGCGGGGACCTCAACCCAGAACAGATGAATCAGAATTTGAAGCTGGGTGAATGGGACATGGCATGACTGGGCATCTTAATGTGTATTCAGAGTTGAGAATTCTTCCTCTGTGTGAATCTCAATGAATTTCTGTCTGGTTTGGCCCACATCTTTCGGATGTGTTGATTTTCAGGATAGCATCGGGCAGCTGGAGAACGACCTGAGGGAACACCAAGAGTGAGATGGCTCGCCACCCTCCGGGAATACCAGGACCTGCTCAATGTCAAAATGGCTCTTGACATTGAGATAGCAGCTTACAGGTACTCTCAAAGGGCATGCTCACCCAAGCAGATCCAGTTACCTGAGGCAGTGCTACCCAGATTAGTGGTTCTAGTCTTTCCAATTTCTGATGAGTAATGTGGGATGAGGAAAAATACCACTGGCCCCTTCCAGGTGAACCTACCCTCTGTCCCTCAACTTGGACAACTCAGCTCTATCTTACTAGTCTTGGAGATTCCACCTTCCTTTGCGAGGATATAAGGAGCTGAAGTGAATACACAGAAGTGGAAATAAAATCCACCAGACTCTAAAATTAGGATTAATACAACATAGAAAGT